TTGTAGCGAAATACAAGCTGGGTCCAACGGGCTCGAGCACAAGCTGGGTCCAACAGGCTCGAGCTCTTGTATCAGCGGTACACCAAGGAGGGTTGTCACCATCAGCGCTGCAAGATCATGGAGGAGATCTGGGTTGGGGATATGTGGCCAGATGCAGAAGGGGATGGCCTCATGTGGTTCGGAGTGGTGAAGGCCCTAAACTGTTTGGGGTGATATGACACTGTGTATGGACGCCAGGTGACAGAGATGACAGCCTTGTGCAGTCTTGTGTGGATGGCCTCGTGTGGTTCGGAGTGGTGAAGGCCCTAAACTGTTTGGGGTGATATGACACTGTGTATGGACGCCCGGTGACAGAGATGGCAGCCTTGTACAGTCTTGTGTGGATGCCAAGTGACAGGGGTAACAATGATGGGTGTAATCTTTTATTAAAATCAGGGTGACAGGGTTGCCGTGGGGGTGTTGGTATGCATATTTGTTCCACAGTCATGCAGGGTAGTCTTTAAATTAACACATTACATGTCTGTCAACGGGGTAGCAGAGATCACACATGTGGCCAAGTAGTATTGGGTAGGGGAGTAAGCGTTCAAGTGCTGGTTACATGGTGGAGATCTTGAAGTGGTGGGGCGGTGGAAATCCAGTTTTGTTCACCTGTAAACTAGTCTCCAAATGTGCCTGCACAAGACTGTCACCCCTGTCACCCGGCATTCACACCTCACTGCACAAGGCTGTCACCCCTGCTTTCAACTGGCATCCAAACAGGACCGTGTGCATCAGTGTCATTCCTGTAAACTAGTCTCCAAATGTGCCTGCACAAGACTGTCACCCCTGTCACCCGGCATTCACACCTCACTGCACAAGGCTGTCACCCCTGCTTTCAACTGGCATCCAAACAGGACCGTGTGCATCAGTGTCATTCCTGTAAACTAGTCTCCAAATGTGCCTGCGCAAGACTGTCACCCCTGTCACCCGGCATTCACACCTCACTGCACAAGGCTGTCACCCCTGCTTTCAACTGGCATCCAAACAGGACCGTGTGCATCAGTGTCATTCCTGTAAACTAGTCTCCAAATGTGCCTGCGCAAGACTGTCACCCCTGTCACCCGGCATTCACACCTCACTGCACAAGGCTGTCACCCCTGCTTTCAACTGGCATACAAACAGGACCGTGTGCATCAGTGTCATTCCTGTAAACTAGTCTCCAAATGTGCCTGCACAAGACTGTCACCCCTGTCACCCGGCATTCACACCTCACTGCACAAGGCTGTCACCCCTGCTTTCAACTGGCATACAAACAGGACCGTGTGCATCAGTGTCATTCCTGTAAACTAGTCTCCAAATGTGCCTGCACAAGACTGTCACCCCTGTCACCCGGCATTCACACCTCACTGCACAAGGCTGTCACCCCTGCTTTCAACTGGCATCCAAACAGGACCGTGTGCATCAGTGTCATTCCTGTAAACTAGTCTCCAAATGTGCCTGCGCAAGACTGTCACCCCTGTCACTCGGCATTCACACCTCACTGCACAAGGCTGTCACCCCTGCTTTCAACTGGCATACAAACAGGACCGTGTGCATCAGTGTCATTCCTGTAAACTAGTCTCCAAATGTGCCTGCACAAGACTGTCACCCCTGTCACCCGGCATTCACACCTCACTGCACAAGGCTGTCACCCCTGCTTTCAACTGGCATACAAACAACCTGCTGCACTTGCTGACGCCTGAGCCTCAAATCATCCAACAATTTCTGCAGCCGGTCGATCTCACATGCCACCGCCTGCTCCTGCATGGCGAGCTCACTGTCCAGCTGCTGTGCACTTGCCACAAAAGGGGACCTGTTGTCTAGGGGAGGAGTGACGGCAGTCGACAGCTGGCAGTGTGCACCCCTCCCCTCCTGGGCCTCTGGATTTGTATGCTTTCCGACTGCAGTGAAGACCTCCTTCAAGAGGTCGGTGTGCATGTCCAGTCTCATGATCACCCGCACGTGAAGTAGGTTCTGCCGTAAGACCCCCCCAAATGCTGCATCTGAGGCCCAAATCCCGGCCATGCTGCGCAGGTACCGCTGGACACCCTTGCGTGCAAACAATGAACATGCTTCATCAATGAAAGTGCTGCCAAGACTGATACTGTTGCCCTTGAGGTCCCGAGCCATGAACTCCTCCAAGATGGCAATAGCCCGCTCCAGGGTGATCCTGTCAACACCTCCATTGGTGACGCGCCCTCCCAACCTGCTAAGATCCAGACCCATCAGTGCCGTCGACCTGCTACTGTGCTGGATGTATGCTGGCGCGTCCGGCGGGGGAAAAACCTGGGCCACCCCACATGCCTGCAGCCCCTTCCCAAATGTGATGAGGTCGGGGAAGAAAGCTGGATAGTGAAGGTACGAAAATATGTGCCCAGTGTGAAGTGCCATCATGATGTCGTCAATCGCGAGGATGACACCCTTAGCTGCTGTGAGATGCCTGAGCGCCAGCAAAAAGCCATAGGTATATCCCATTAGGTCATTGGATGTGAAGGTCTCAATCAAGATTACACCCACATGGACCTGGTGCATCCTCGAGCTGACGACAGTGATTGCAGCCTCCTCGGTCTCTGTGAGTGGAGCAGGAATGAGGGTGCTCGAGTCCGACTGTTGGTGAAGGGCCGTGGCCACCTGCCTGACATAGGTAGCCGCTGCCTTAGCATCCCTTTTGGCGGCGGGAGGTGCACTCTTCGCTTCAGCAATAATAGCCTTAGACCGGGTGCTCACCATGGCTTCACAAGAGCTGGAGAAGAGGTGAATGCCCTCTATCTTGCGCCTGGAGAGCTCTCCAACCTCGGACATGTAGCTCCAGCCCAGGGGGAGCGGGCACACCAGCAAGGGACGGAGTGCCAGGATGTCTGGGTCCTGAGCATTTGCACGCCCATCATGGACAAAGAGCCTTGATGACAAGGCTGCGATTGGCCCACGAGCTTCACCATATCCCCCATCCTGGAGCATCATGTACCCCTTCTGATGGGCACCAGACAGGTGACTTGCTTGCAAGTTGGCAACATCCCATAGCAGGTTGTTCGCATCGGTGCCGGTACTTGCCAGAGCGAGGATCTTAATGGGATGGCCGGTGATGTTTTGCATGGCCACTTCAAGCTGAGGGACAGCAACATGGATGTGCCCCTTGGCAGCCGATTCGACCGTGTGGCAAGGAGGGGATGGATCCAGGGCCAAGGTCTTGATGAGGTTGTGGTAGTCTGCTGAGCGCAGCTCTGAGCCATCTGACAGTACACAGAGCCCATACTCTGATGAACCATCAAACAACTCACACTCGAGTTTAAAGCTGCAAAAGTGCAGGTGCCCTGACTCACAATCATTGCAAGTCAAGGCCTGACACAGCTTGCACCTAAGGTGGGGGGGGAGCAGGGCGAGTTCAATGGTTTATCGATGGGGGCTGGCATTTAG